GACACAAACTGTGCAGATCTCTTAAGCTAAATGTCTAACCCTAGCATAATGCATGCTTATTATCAACAGCACGCTTGACAGTGTTCACTAGCCAACTACTGTTCCTGTTTTCTGATATGGGGCTCACTAGATTTAATTGCTACTATGCAGCAGAACTTTCCTGTATTCCTGTTCACTGTTTCTAAAACAATTTATAAAACAGAGACAACATGAACCCAGCACAACTGGTGAGTTTCTGTTAGAAATGAAAACTCACAGCTTGCAATTTATCTGAAGCATTAAACGAGCCATTGCGCATAGCATTGAGGTTGTTAAAATGGGTAAGGATCACATGTTTTGTGAAGTTGCTACAGCAACAAAATATGTTTTTGTAATTTCCATTTTTTGCAGGTTTGTGGAGGCCTTGATCTTCATCTGAATTTGACAAACGTCAGTTAGTCTTACTGTTGTGCATATGGTCCTGGTTTGTGGAAAGAAAAGCCATCCTTTATATTTTCGCCACGTTTCTGTCACCGCCTGACACTGAAAGAAACAGCAAAGTCAGAAGTGCAGTCTTGAACCTGTCAGTGCAGAATGTAAATCAAATGTTTATGTGGTTCATTATGCAACTCAATACTGAATTAAATATGTACTTACATAATTCCATTTGAATAGAATAACAAATCTAAAGTAATAACTCTCAACTTCTAAGCGTTAATAGAAACAACACTTGTGTGGTTCTCTGTGGGGTGAATAGGTGATATGCGACTGTCTCTCTCACACAAAAAATAAATAAATAAAAACATTACATCAAGCATTTATGTAAGGAATCATTGTGCTACACACAATGTAGAAAAAGTTTAGCTCCCATTAAGTAGCCCTGAAGCATTACCACTAGGGAGCAATACAATATGAGTCACAATGCAATTTTGCCAGAATACCTTATACCTAAGAGCAAGTACGAAAGAGAAAGCTCTACACCAAGCGTGTAACTTTTTCAATACAGTATCAAAAGACTAAAAAAAATTAACATTTAAAACAACGCATAGAAATTTAAAAGTATATAGCTGATACACGCCTCGGCCTCTTCTAATATTCTCTCATTTGAGATGAAACTACTGTCAATAAACTAAGCATCTGCATACACCCTAATTAGAGTACAGAGGGCAGGAAGGGGAAGGCCTTATTCTATGCATGCACCCAAGCTCAAAAGTTTGGGCTTTTTTCTGTTGCTTATAAATTCTAGAGCAGTAATATTCAACTTGGGAAGGTCAAGTTCCATCAAAATTCTTTCTTACAAAGATCCGGATAAACAAACTAAAAATGATGAATGGCAAAATTGTTTTTTATTAATGGCTGCACCACTAAAGCAGTTCCGGTCCTAGCTTTCCCACAGCCATAAGCAAAATCCAACAACTAAAACTTCTTCATTCTCTGCCAAATTGCCAACTGCCACACCCCTACATTCCCCTTACAATCATCTGCTGTTAATCCAGTAGTTCTTCCATTACACTATTGAAAACATCGTACCTTTAAAATTTGCTGAAGATCTTTATAACCTGTTGATTTATCCTCCCACATTATATTGGGCACATGCAGCGAGCAGCAGCAACATGCTCAAATTTTACTTTCACTTTGTGTTTTGACCTGTGTCGCTATAAAAGCATGTATAAAACATAACAGGATATGTAGTATAAAACGTCCTAAGCAGGGCAGAAGGATTGGTTAGAGTCACCATCAGTGAGCTCTTTAGAACGACCCATTCTGTCTGATATATATATATATATATATATATACACACATAAGAAAGAATGGGTCATTCAAAAGAGCTCCCTGATTTTGAGCATGGTGCTGTAATACATTGCAACAAGTCAGTTTGTGAAATTTCTTCCCCTTAGTTCCAGTGAAGGGAAATATTAATGCTTCAGCAAACCAAGACATTGTGGACAATTATATGCTTCCAACTATGGGAACAGTTTGGGGAAGGCCCTTTTCTGTTCAAGCATGACTGTGACCCAGTGCACAAAGCAAGCTCCATACAGGCATTGCTGGGCAAATTTGGTCTGGAAGAACCACACAAAGCCCTGACCTCAACCCCATCAAACACCTTTAGGATGAACTAGAACGGAGATTGTGAGCCAGGCCCTCTCATTCAGCATCAGTGTCTGATCTCACAAATCCTCATCTGGATGAATGGACAAAAATTCCCATAGATACACTGCAAAATCTTGTAGAAAGCTTCCCAGAGGAGTGGAAGCTGTTATAGCTGCAAAGCTGGGACCAACCCTTTTGTAGGTGTCCCAATACTTTTGGCGATATAGTGCATATATACAGCTGACGCACAACTATTTTTTACTTATGTTAATTGGCTTTACTGCAGAAGTGCTTGGTTCATTCAACTGAAATTTCTAACTGGGTCTCCAAATGGGCCACAGGCTGCCCGTTGATGACCACTTTTCTAAAAGTTTGGATTATTTTGGCTTTTATTTATCCGAGCCATATTCTATCCATATTTGATATCTAATGCATTAACTTTTTATCTTAGTCTAACTAATCTGTGTGGTACATAATCAGAGTTTATAATCAGACACAATGTATTTTTAACATAAAATATCAAAAATCAAATGAAATCTTCACCTCAGAATGGAGAAATCATATTCAACCTGAAAATATATGCATCATTATACCAACTGATAACAAATAACTGAACATGAGTGGACTGATAAAAGAACAAAGTCAATATCAAGTTAACATTATTGGTCAGAAATTTCACATCTTGAGAGAAAGAATCAGAAGAGGAGATGTTGGAAGTGTACTGAAATGATGATGTTTACTAAATGATGCCTAAGTGAACATTATTATAATGACTGTAAAGTTCGCCTGTGGTTCGGTAACTCAGTGTTTTTTAACATTTCAAAATGCACTTATGTTGAGCCACAGCTGTGATTTGTTTTTCCATTTTTTCTACCTTGTTCCCTCTTTTTTTTCCAAAATGACAAAACAAGTGTGTTAGACTCCCACTCTTTTAGTCGGTGGCATTTGCTAAAAGTCCTGGTGACATTTCTTTTCTTTTCTCTCCCTCTCTTTCTCTCCATGGTCGCTCCTATTCATTCCTTTGCTTTCTATAGAGTAAAACCAACACAGCCTCTGTTAGTCTGGCTCTCCATTTTCTCTCTGGCCTCCCCCTGTCTGTTTATCCCTCGCTCTTTGATTTTTTACCCCCTCCTTCATTCTCTCTCTCAGTCGTTCATCACATTCTTTCAGTGCAAAAAAAGCAGTGGAGTATTGGTAATAGCAGAAGTGACAGTAATACTAATATGAGCCTATGAGCCCCATTGCGTCTCTGACCAGCACCACGCATCTTCACACTTTCACTTCAAAGCACTTTGCTCGGTTCCCTCTGTGCAGTGTTAGCCGCGATCATCAGGCCAGATAAAACAGCCTTGGACACGAACGCTTTACCACAGCACGTGCACTGACTTCTGTGACAATGCGATGACCTTGGAGATTGATCCAAATAAAAGACAAAAATATATTTAACACAGAGAGACAGAGAGGGAGAGGGCAGAGAGAGAGAGAGAGAGAGAGAGAGAGAGAGAGAGAGAGAGAGAGAGAGAGGCCTAAAGAGAAGCCAGAGGCCAGAAAGTAAGAAAGTGAGATGAAGGGGAGAGAGAGAGAGAGAGAGGAGAGAGAGAGATAGAGAGCCCAATGGAGAAAGAGACCCTGTAGGAGCAAGAGACCAAATGAAAGAGAGCCAGAAACAGAGAGAACAGAGAGCAAAAGACAGAGACCAACAAAGAAGAAAGAGACAAAGAAAGACTGTAAAGAGAGAGAGAGACTATGTCAGAGACAAACACAGAAGCCAGGAGATGAAAACAGAGACAGAAAGACAAAAACCAAAAGAGAGAGAAAAGAAGAAAAAGAGACATAGAAAGACAGCAAATGAGAGGATAATGAGAGACACAGAGAGAGAGAGAGAGAGAGAGAGAGAGAGAGAGAGAGAGACAGACAGACAGACAGACAGACAATAAGAGAGAGACATCGGAGGACAGAAAGTAAGAAAGCGAGATGAAGAGAGACAGCAAGAGACCAAAGCAGTGAAAATGGGGAAAAGAGTGAAAGATAGATAGATAGAGACCGAAACCCTCTAGGAGCAAGAGACCAAACGAAAGAGAGAAGAAAGATGGATAGAGAAAGAGACACTGTAGGAGCAGGAGACCAAAAGAAAGGGAGACAGAAAGAAAATGGAAAGAGTAGTAGATAGAGACCAAAAGACAAAAGAAGACAGAAACAGAAGGAAAGCAAATGAGAGAGGAAAAAAAGGAGAAAGACAATGCAATAGAGACAGGGAGAGAGAAGGTAAACAAAGACAGAGAGAACAAACGAGAAAGCAAGAGCAGAGAGAGAGCAAAAGATAGTGAGTAAGAAAGTTAATGAGTTAAGAGTCAGAGAGACATAGAGCAAAGCAAGAGAAACCAGTGAGACACACAGAGAGACGGGGGGGGCAAAGGGAGAGAGAGAAAGAAAAGAAAGAAAGAAAGAAAGAAAGAAAGAGAAAGAAAGAAAGAAAGAGAAAAAACGAAAGAAAGAAAGAAACAAACAAACAAAGCAACAAAGTAAAACTAAAGAAAAACTAGGACTTTAAAAGAAGAGACTAAAAGAGAGGGAGAGAGAAGCCAGAGACACCAAATAAGAGAGAATGGTAAGAGGAAAGAAAGACAAACAGATAACAATGCAAACCAAGACCATGGGATAGATAGAGCAGAAGAGGGAAAGATACAAAGAAACAAACAGAGAGAGAAAGAGCCAGACAGAGCATGAGAAAGAGTGCAAAAGAGAGAGCATCAGCGAGAGAGAGAGAGAGAGTGAGACAGAGAGACAGAGATATAGAGAGATAGAGAGAGAAAGAGAGAGAGGGAGACACACACCCAGCGAGCGAGAACAAGCAGAAAAATTAGACCAAGCCAGACAAAGCTCAATGAAGACTGAGCACAACAAAGAAAGCCATTTGGTAGCCGTACCTTGGCAGCCATGATCATGGAGGAACCCCCGCGGATGCCCAGGATGGGGATGTGTGTCTGGGCCGAGATGAAGTCCAGGATCTGGGCGATGGCCTCCTGGTCGGTGTCATCTCCGAACACTACACCCTGCAGCCAGTTGCGGGACATGAGCGCGCAAATACGGTTGATGATGCTCTTGGGGTCAGTCTCGTTCATGGTGACCAGGTCCACCTTAGGTGGCAGTGGCACATGCAGGAAGTCCTCCTTCTCCAGGCCTTCCGCCAGCGTCACCTCACTGGAGTTTCCCACCAGGATGACAGCAATGCTAAGGCCCTGAGCGAACTTGGGCGGCAGCGGCGCCGCCACCGGGTTGGCCGCTGCCGGAGGGTAGTGTGGCGGCCCGATGATGGAGTGGCCACGGGTGCTGCTGCTCACGCCCCCGGCCCCAACCCCGCCGGCGGTGGAACCGCCCCCTCCACCCCGCCGTGACTCGCAGGCCGGGAGGAAGAGGAGGAGCGGGAGAAGAACGAGGAGAGAGAGGCGAAGGCTGACAAGCATGGCCGACGAGTGAAGACGCAGTCCCTGGAGGAAGAGAGGGAAGAGAGAGTTTAAAAATGAGACATGTGTATTCCTTCATGGCCAGCCATCACCACCCATTACTGACGTGTTGAAAGAGATTTCTTGGAAAACATCAAGATCCTTTAGAGAATTCAGATATGCACACTGAGTGCGTTTACATGCAAGTAATAATCCCATAACTGAAGAAAACTGGCAGTAATCTGATCAATGTGTTTACATGCACTTGAGTAATCAGATAATGGGAAACTCCAGGTCTATATGAGTCAGACAGTAATCCGATTTCTGCTTTGCAACCGGCCAATAAACTCACAGAAGACGTGACGTAAACATAATGTAAAACTCAAACTTCATGCCGCGGCATTGAGCCACTTTACCAGAAACTATGAAGAAGCACCATCTAGAAGATGAAGAATATTTAAATGCTTCATGCGTCTCACAGCAACACCGTTTGCTTATTTTCTGGTACAGCAGTCTATTCTGCACATGCGCAGACTGAGAAATCTGAAAAAAATACGGGTATACATGCACTGAGAAATCTGATTACTGAGCTAAAACCCATTTCTCTTAATCTGATTTCTTAATCGGATTTCTATATTGGTGTATGGTGTTTACATGACCATTCAAATAATCGGATAACTGCAGAAATCCTATTTTTTTTTGTCAAGTAAATTTTTGAACATTTCTATTGGTCTGTTCATCGTGGATGTGCAAGTGTTTTTTTGCACAAGAGCAACAGACACACACACACACACACACACACACACACACTCATACTATGTATTGCATTCATTTACTGATAATGTCAACAACTATGGGCAGGTAAATGAACCAAAGCAGGTCCATAAGCTGCTTCAGTATGCTGAAACTGTATAAAGGCAATGATTTTCCAGAGTCTGAGTAAAATGCCACTCAAATGAATAAAGGTAAATATTTTACAATAAACTATTTGAGTAAAATCTATTTCAACTTCATTTTACATGGAAGATACAGATACGAGTAAAAACAGCCTAGAAATATTTCTGTGCAATTTATATGAGTTTCATTGGGATGAAATGTTCTTTGGACGTAAACATTTTTCATTCAATGAAATATACTTTCATTACATTTCTTCCATTTTATGTAAACCAGTTACTTGAAGATATCATAATTCATTTATTTAATGTCGACATATATTCAGCTTTCCAAAAGCCAACTCAGATGAGTAAAGGCAACTGCTTTAAGTTACTGAGTTAAATTAAACAAAAAGAGTAAATGCAATCTTTTCAACAAACCATTTGATTAAAAGGCTATTCAAATGAGTAAACCAATCATTTCCATAAGCCATTTGAGTAAAATGCAAATTAAATGAGAAAAGGCAAATGTTTTTATAAGCCATGTGTGTAATTTGAGTAAAATGCAACTCAAATGAATAAATTAGTTATTTTTTTCCAAATCCATTTGACTAAAAGGTTCCTCAAATGAATAACGGCAATCATATTCCACAAGCCATTTCCGTAAACTGCAACTTAAATGAGTCAGGGCAATTATTTCCCATAAGCCATTTCAGTGAAATGCAAGTGTAATGAATTGAGGCTACTGCAGTGCATTAACTTCTATAAAGTCACTGGTTAAGTTTTATGGTTTGATGCGTTTATTACTAAGGTGAGGCGTGCCCTAGATGTGCATTTGTTACTGGCTTTTATAGTTTTGTAATGCATAAATCATTCGTGTGAACTCGACCTTGAGTTTCAGAGTGTGTGTGACTGTCTTGTAAAGTAACAGTGAAACACACTCAGCATGAGAGCTTTTAAAGAAATTGATTGTGAAGCACAATGAGAAGTCCAAAGGACAGTGAGAATAGCCGTGAAAGAGAGTGAGAGACAGATGACGAAAAATAGCGACAGACAGAGAGAACGAGTGATGATGAGAGGCAGAGAGAGGGTGTATGAGTGTGTGTGCATGTGTGTCGCCCACAGAAAGTGTTTAGACAGAATGACACACCAGTTGATTGATCTGCTGACAGAATGGCTTACACGCATTAAAACAGATCGCAAATGTTTTAATGTAACGTTAGAACATGAAATTTTATATATGTCACATATTAATTTTTTAATATATATATACATCTATACCTATAAATAGATATATATACAAATACCTCATATCTCTGTTTTTGTCATTTTTCAGGTTTTGACCTAACTTTGACCTGACTCTGATGTCCTAAAACGGACCAAAATTACTTGGAAAAATATCTGGTTCCATTGACTTACGTTGAAAGTAAAGTATCTTCTATCCTTCACCGAGGTTTTGTTCCGACAGCAGCTGTATATATATATATATATATATATATATATATATATATATATATATATATATATATATATAAAACAATACCATTTATGAAAATTATATTGCTTTCTATGAATAACATTGCTATACATATTTATGAAAATATATTACACTTTATAGCCATGTTTATTATGCATTATGAATTGCTAACATAATGCATTACAAGTAGTGTTCATAATATAAGAGCTTGTAAGTTGTATTTTTTAGCTCTAAGTAAAGTGAGTCTCCAACAATATTATGAGTGAGGCTTCAAGTTGAAGTATGTACTGAATGATTTACTGAAACACTACAACATACAGAGTAAAGCACTTAAAATGTCAGATTTTAACTTAGTGGTGCCATCAGTAGTATTTTACCAAACCTAGGAAAGTCAATATACACTACTGTTAGCTTGATGCTAACTTAGCACCGCATACCCAGTAACTTCTAGCAGAAATTAGCATTGCTGTAGTGTAGAGATGCTACAAAGTGATGGTTTGTAGGGGTTCATGTTAGAACCACTGAGGGAACAAAATACAATGACCGTACTCTAAAAACTTGCCCCTCACACTCAGTGCCTTTGCTCCACAGTAACTTTATACTCAGTGCGATGTCAGAGGGGGTTTCAGGGGAGGGGCTTGCTGGGTACTTGGTTTGCTGTGATATAATGTATTTTTTAAAGTGAGAGTGCTGATGTGGAAAGCGCACTGTAGTAGTAAATCTTTGCTAGACAACTTGTTTGGGGCCGGCACCTGAAGTCCAGCCCTAACACACCCCATGGCATAAACAAACTTATTTGTCTCACTTTACACTCTGCAAACTGGAACAGTCTTCTTTGGATCTGAGTCCAGCAGAACGCCTTTAGATGTGGTAAAGCGAGAAATTCACAGCATAAAATTGCATACCTGTTGCAGTAGCAGTCATGTAAGAAGTAAGTCCACCCCATGAAATGTTTCATTGTTTTTTTTGACATATGTGGGCATAAGCTAAACAGCATGCATAGATAAATGTTATGTAATAGAACAAAAAACAAATGTAATTTGACTTTGCAATCATTTATGTAAAAATAAATTAAATGAGATGTTTTTTTTTCTGTTTAAAATCTAAGTACACCCCTGGCTTCAGTAACGGCTGTTGCCCCGTTTGACAGAAAAGACTTTTTGTATGTGTTTCCTATAAATCTCTACCAGTTTCTGGCATCTACTGAGAGATGTTTTTGCCCACTCCTTCATGCAGAATTATTTCAACTGTTCAATGTTTGAAGGACTTCATGCATGTGAATGAATCCCATCATTTCAATGGGATTCAGATCTGAGCTTTGACCAGGCCATTCCACAACTCTCCACTTCTTCCTTCTGAGCCATTCATTGGTGAATTTACTTGTATGTTTGGTATCTTTATCCTGTTGAAAGGTCCATTTCTTCAGCTTCAACTTTCTAGCAGATGGCCTCACATTCTCCTCAAGCTCTCTCTGGTATGAAATTCATAGTCGATTCTATGACTGCAAGTTGGCCAGGCCCTGAGGCGGCAAAGCAGCTCCAAACCATAAGGTTTCCACCACCATGCTTTACAGTCAGTATGAGGTTCTTCTGTTCAAATGCAGTCTTTGGTTTTTGCCAAACATGGCTTCTGGTACTGTGACCAAACACCTCTATCTTTGATCTGTCCATTGCTGCAGAAGTACTGGTCCTTGCCTAGATATTGATTATCAAATTTTAGTCTTGCTCTGATGTTCTTTTTAGACACCAAATCTTCCTCCTGGCGCCAATGTAGGTCATCAGACCTTTTTCCAGCCTTCAACTGTCCAGTTTTGGTGAGACTGTGCCCACTGCAGCCTCAGTTTTCTGTTCTTGGCTAACATACTTGGAATCCAACATGGTCTTCTGCTGTTACAGCAAATCTGCCTCAAGGTTCGAGATGCATTCTGAGATGCTTTTATGCTCACCATAATTGAAGTTCTTCTGATGTAGCCCTGATAATACCCCAAACTCCAATAACAAAGAGCAAATAAGTGATACATAGAGGGGTGTACTCACTTTTTCCATATAGGAAACTGCATTTCTGTTTATTTTAATTATATGAAGGACTACAGAAATGTTTTTTAAGGTGTCACTTGTTAAATTATATCACCTTTGTCTATCAACATTGTTTAAATGAAGACCGGATATCTGTATGTCCAAATATGCTGAAAATGTCTAAACTTTTCACAGGGTGTACTTACACCTTCACATGACTCTATCTAAAAGAGCGCATACAGGCTAACTTTGTGACTTTTTAATTATTGTGCTAGCCTAGCTGTTGGCTACATAAGTATCTTTAATTAATAATCTAAGCGTAACCCTAAAACTAATCTTGACCTCAGTACCTAAAAGAAATTGGTTTACCCGTTTTATTTTAAAAATGAAACATGTAGCTATTGTAAAAACTAGCGATTGGCTAAAATTAAGTATTTCTATTTTGGATGATTTCTGTTG